GGTTTCTTGTTAGTTGGACTAAAAAATGTGAATGTTGGCGATGCTTGAAAAATGGTCCCTCTAGCTGCTTTTGCTTCTGCCAGTTTGTGAAGGAAAAAAAATAATGTGGATGTTGTGTTGAGTATGGAAATTTTTTTTGTTTAAAAGTTATAGAACATTTTGAGAGTTTACCATTTGACCTGGAAAGTGATACTTTAACATTGTTGTTCTTTTTAAGCTTAAGTGTTCCCACTTGCTAAAATACGGTTTTTGTTATTTCATACCCGATAATGTTGCACTGTAAGTTTAAGCTACCTTATTTGGGAATGCAGGTTGCTCTTGCACAAGGCTGCTCAAATGCCTCCCCAGGCCTACAAGAACGGGCTGCTGGTGCTCTTTGGGGATTGTCAGTGTCAGAAGCCAATAGGTATGTGCTTGCTCTTCGTAACACACCAAGCTAGTTCAAACAAATACGAGCCAAAGAGTTTGGACTAGAGATGCATGTCTTTCTGGAAATATCATTCATTTTTGTTTTAGTTTATGGATGAAAACCTTTTGGAATACCTGATCTCAGTCAGGTTCCTTATTCGTTTAGCTGGATAATGATGATGAGCTAAAATTTTGATGAAAAACAAGCACACACCATGCTTAACAAAAGAAAAAGGAAGGAAATAAAAGAAGAAAAAGATGCATGCAATTTACAGATGTCAGTTGCATGAGATTCCTTTCCGATTATATCTGGAAGAATTTTTATGAGTTTGAATATCATATAAACTACAGCTGTGATGTTGAAAAGACTAAGATTCAGCAAGTTCCTGTTCGATCAAATTTAATTATAATTTATTTTGTTATGTGGTTATATGTTAATGAGAGACTTTTTTTGCAATGCAGCTAATGCTTATGATGGTAGCTAGACACTGGGTAACCAATAAGAAATCATTTCTGGGGAATGGATTTTACTTGTTACAATGTCATATTGGCATCTATCGTAATTTTTGGCTCTGCCAAATCTCAAATAATTTTAATTTACTGATAGCCTAACATAGACAAAGCTGTATATTATATTGCATGGGCATGCAATTAGTTTGTTTCATGTTTTGTTCCTTTTCCCTTTTCATTTCATAAACCTTCACGTTTGCATTTTTCTAGCTTAATTGTGTTGCATTGCATTGCACTTTTTCCCTTTTCATTTCTTAGAGCTTCAAAAACATTCCATGACTTGTTTGCAGGAAGTCCTGTAAAGTCACAGCTCTGGTATGGACATTGTGCCAGATAGTGCGATTCTGATATTTAAGGTGTTTGAGTTTGTGAGTGTAATATTGGGTCGGGTTAGGTTTAGAAAGTTTTACCACTTTAATGTTTTTCATTGGTCTTTTATTTCTAACCATAGGGTTACTTTGTCATAAGATATTTCTGTTCATTTTGTGTGCAACTTCTAATCAAACAGACTTTCCAGCTTTAACTTCTTAACACGTTTTAACAATGGAATTTCTCCTTATTTCATTGGTTGAGAAGATTGAACTTTAACCAAAAGTGTATTTTACATGAAAACCACAAGAAGGTAGTGAATCTGTGAGCAAGTCTTCCAGTTCTCAGAAGCAGATTCCATCAAAGTACTTGTCAACCTGAAATTATAATATTATGTAATTAATGCCTACAATTATTTTGCTTCTTTGTCATGGTTTTTGTGGGTAATGGAATAATTTTTATGCTGAAATGTTGGTCCAGTAATCTCTATGATTGTTTAGGATGCAACTTCCAAAATTACTCAACCGTGTGCTTTTAAAGAATAATCACATGTGCATTTTATGAATGGATCAACTGACTGTGATCTGCAGTAGATTTCCTTTTTCTCCGGTCACATTGTTATTTCTTGAAATCTATCATACTTTTCTATCCAGAATACTCCTATGTTCTTTCATTGAGTATTGATATGAATTTTTATTTAACACTGTCACTATTGATTTTGCTCACGTTTTGTTGGTTGTTAGCATTGCCATTGGACGGGAAGGAGGTGTTGTGCCTTTGATTGCATTGGCACGCTCTGAAGCTGCTGTAAGTATTATTTTATTTTTCAATTATTATTTAAGATGTTCATGTTCCATGGTCAATTAGAGAAAATCAAGCACTATTATTTAATTAACTTATGTATTAGCCGTCATACATGCAGATTGTTTCAGAAATTAGTTTAATAGTAATAGAACGTGGTGGATCACTGCTCACCTAGGCACTGGAATTCAGCAATCAATTTATGGGCATAATTTTTGTCTTAAAAGAAAAATAGGAGCAGAATCTAATACCAGTCATTGAAGTTAAGTCTGAAAGGATTAGTACGAGTATTTTTGTGTATCCTTTTTTATTCAGTAAATAATAGCTGACAGTCTGTATAATATTGTTAATAAATAATTGTGGAAACTGAAGCTAAGACCTCTACATCCAGTATTAGCTGTTTGGTCTTGTTTTACATTTGATGCACATGACAAGAGAAGCTTTTTATACTTGAACTTGTGTGTTGATACCTGTAGCATCTTTTCGAGTGCATAGTTTCTCATGGCCTTGCATATAAATTCATTCATGTTCTAATTGGATACTCTTTTTGTCATTCAACCTTTTTATAGTCCTTCATGGGTATGCTTCAGTGAGTACAGTGCAATTACTTGCAAATATATGCTCATATTTCCTTACAACATCCTTTCGTTGAGCTTTCTTTGTTCATGTAATTGGAAAAAGATTTGATTTGATTTTTCAACTTTCAGGATGTCCATGAAACAGCTGCGGGTGCTCTTTGGAATCTTGCTTTTAACCCTGGTAATGCTCTCCGGATTGTGGAGGAAGGAGGTGTTCCTGCGCTTGTTCATCTTTGTTCTTCGTCGGTGTCAAAAATGGCTCGCTTCATGGCCGCGTTGGCATTGGCATACATGTTTGATGGCAGGTATTTGTAGGCCTAACTGTTTTCTGTGTGCGTGCTACTCATTCTTTTGTTTCAAAATGCTGTTGAATGCATGGGATATTCTGTTCTGTATGTGATGTGGTTTAACGTCCTTGTGAGTCTGTATGCTTCTATGTGGCCTCATTTTCAACCCACTGCGTCCTGGGTTCAAAACCTCCTCCTCCCCTTAGTCTCAATAGTAATATCTCTTGTAATAAGAAAAAATATACATGTTAAAACTTTGTTAATACTCTGCAGAATGGATGAGTATGCAATGATAGGGACTTCGTCGGAAAGTGTCTCAAAGAGTGTGAGCTTAGATGGCGCTAGAAGGATGGCTCTGAAACACATTGAGGCCTTTGTCCACACTTTTTCTGATCCACAAACGTTTGGTGCTGCTGCAGTATCATCAGCCCCTGCAGCGTTGGCGCAAGTGACAGAAGGTGCTCGTATTCAAGAAGCAGGACATCTGAGATGCAGGTTCTCTCTCTCTCTGAACTACGATTGTTGTCTACGAGGCTGAAATTTTAAATTTGCCCTATAATTTTGCATATTTTTTCTGTCTGAACATTGACTTTTCCTTGTACTGTCAGCGGGGCTGAAATTGGAAGATTTGTTTCCATGCTACGGAATACGTCACCTGTTCTCAAGGCATGTGCTGCATTTGCTCTTCTTCAGGTAAATGTGCATACTAGACTCACCTCTGTAAAAAACACTAGTCCTTTGTGTAGTTCAGTGCCAACTTTAATATCCATTATTTATTGATGGAGAACGATCCTTTATATATGTATTCTTTCAACTGCAGTTTACCATACCCGGTGGCCGGCATGCTATGCACCATGCTAGCCTTATGCAGAATGGAGGGGCAGCACGCCTTCTGCGGGCTGCAGCTGCTGCAGCAACTGCCCCCCTTGAAGCCAAAATCTTTGCTAGAATTGTGCTTCGGAATCTTGAGCATCACCAAATAGAACCATCACTTTAATTTATCCGTGATCCGCCGGCAAAACATCTCTGTTTAGAATCGTTGATGGAGGCTGATTTCATGCTTAGTCACAATCTTCCGCGGACGACATAATCTTCGGTGTAACAAATCGGCTTGATCTTGATTTTTTCTTCCTCCCCACATTCCTTAGGCATAAAAGATGGTTAATTTAGGTTCAAGTAACTTACTCCCTTTGTACCAAATCATATGAAGAAAACGAGAAGGTTGTTTTGATGGGGGAATAATTTTAACTTTTAAGAACTTGTACCTTAACCATTTTCAATTTTTGTTGGAATTCTTTGTGATGACGGTTTCTATATATTTCAAAGTTGTTTGAGACTCGTCGAGGCAACATTCTGATGAAAAATTTGACTACTTAATTTTGTGTTCTACTATTTTCATAGGTGAGTGATAGCCACAGCTTTTCTCCCACTGCACACGCTTGTTATGTATGGCAAGGAAGAAAAGAAAATAGGGTGAGCGGAAATCACCTCTTCCTCGTATCCGAATAAGATTGGAATTCAATAATCTAAATATTGATAATCTGAATATAAATGGATTAGGATGTGGATCCAGGTTGATCTAATTCGACTTAATATAACATAGTATTTATTTTATTTAAATGTATAGATATTAGTTGAATTTTCCAGGTCAACCGGCCGAGGTTCCTACTCCAACAATACCGATATTGTCACCAATATTAATAATAAAAATTAATAATACAATAAATGAAGTTACTAATTAAAATGTAAGAGGTCCCAGGTTCAATGCTCCAAGCTAGTGAATCTGTTTGACTATGGTCACGGGTAAGATGAAATTCCTTATAGCCTCTCCAGACCCGAAAGGGATGAATAACCATAGCTTACTATCAGTTGTCCCCCCTTTATTAAAAAAAAAAAAAAGTTAGTAATGACATTTTTGAATTAGATCCGATAAGGAATATATCAAATCCCATACTAATCGGATATAAGTCGACAAGTCAAATCCGATTATCTGACTACGCTGCGGATCTGATGATCTGATTATAAATGGACCAAGATATGAATCGGGACTGATCTTATCCAAATCCGATTCGTTTAAAGGTGTAGTTGAAAGTAATGGCCCGAAAGGTGGAAGATAAAAAGTATAATAAAGTTGGGAAAGTCATTTACATACTCTCCTACAATGTAGAGTCTCCGTAAAATTGCTTAACAAAGTACTACATCAATGATTACGAAACCATATGGCAGCCGGCAGCCGGCAATCGTAAAAGTAATTGTCACCGTCTCTACACTGCAACCCGCTCTCCCTTCTCCAATGGTGCAAAAAATAAACAGACATAGCAAGTCCCATTCGACTATAGTGCATAGAGTAGTAAACCCCGAAACTCACATTACACAACCCTCAGCACCACGTTCTGATGCTCACCGAGTCCAACAAGATCCAAGTAGTTGTTCCAGATTAACGAAAGTGTTGTTGGAAATGAAGGCTCTGCTATCTTGTGCTGCGTTGAGTCTTCATCTTCCAAGTATGGCACAATGTACGTTTTCATGTCGCTTCGAGAGATCTGCAGATGGCCCCCCGACACATTTATGAACTTAACCTTTCCAGCTTCGTCCAAGGTTTTCAAACCAATCCAGTCTTCAGTGTACAACATGGTCTGCAGGACGATACGTGTTATACTCGAAAATCCTATAGCTTTCTAATAATGGACTTTTCTCCACGGTCTTGGATTCAAAAGCATAACAGTTGCGCAGGAAATATTGAGTAGATAAGTTACCTCTTGCGCAGGCAAAATAGGATCAGAGGCCCCGTCTGGGAAATATCCAAACCATGAGGTCTCCTTGGGTATCAGTATAGTGTCTTGCTCAAACTAATCATGGACGGACATGGGACGCAATCAGAAAGAGAAGTTAGAATTGCAAATTAGATCATTTTAGTTGGACAAAGAAAAATGTAACTCTAAACCTCACCATAATCAAGACTAAGTTCTCTAAGCTAGCAAACCGTTCCTTATAAGTGGAATTTCTCGACGCTTTGATTTCATTATTCAACTTTGGAAGGAACCTACACCCTTTTAAATAGGCATCGATGTCCTAGAGAACAGAAAAGTTGACCAAGTTTAGCTCTTGGTGCTGGGGACATGTGGTTGAAGAAATCGCCAACAAAAAGGAATGTGTTAAGCTGAAAACGGAAGTATTGTACTCACTGTTGGGATTTTAATATAACCACTTGGAGCCAAATGTTCCTGCAAACCCATCAAAGATAGGCACCTTAAATGGTATAAATTACCAATGGATATAAAATAAAATGGAGAGACAGGACAAGTGTGTCCCGTTCGAATACATACTCATTTTACTTTCTCAAGAAGCTTGAATGCAAAAAATAAAACCCAAATTGGAAACTTGAGAGTTCAACAAAGTTCAACCTGGATAAAGTCGCTGTAGATCTCCGACTTGATTAATGTATCCAGAAGAACGCAAACCCATTCGGACTGCAAAATGTAAAGCATGTCAAACCAAGCTGCAAAATCTTAGATATATCAATAACAAACTAATGTATTCACTTGGTAGGCAACACCAAAATGCATATTCGATACTTTCTTTCCACAACACTTTTTAAGTCGATTTGTCTATTGTTGTCACTGGTTTGAAAGACCAAATGAACCGTTTTGTTTCTTTTCTGATTACGTTACGATCGAAATAGAATATTGACAAGCCGAAGTTTCTCACTTCAGGTTTTCAAAATTCGAAAATGAAAATGATAACCACAATATCTTGTCTGACCTCATGGTATAGATCCTGGTTGTTTTACATTGAAACAATATTATAACTTAGTCATGGAATTAATTTTGAAGTAACATGGGCCATGCCCCAAGCAAAGCCATGCTCCAAGTGCGGTGAGACGCATGAAACGTAGTTTTGTAACTGGATTCTATATAAAAAACTACTCGAATGAGGACATTACAGAGAATATAGCTCAAGTGAATACTTAAGTCTTTGTTCCAAAGGAAACGTCATTTTATTTCCGAACAATTCTCCACAACTGCGAGTCCTTCTACGTTAGGATGCTTTCGCTTTACCTAAGGAACAACGCACGTAATTGAACTGTGTTGACAATATCTGCATCTTACATACTAGGAAAGTAATTAAATATTCTTTGTAATAGATGTTGTCCTGTCTATCATGCTTTGTGTCCAAACTCTTTATTTAAGTGAAGTATTTTTCGAAATACAAGGACCCTACACATGTCTTGTTATATGTTATCAATAGTTTCAACGTGACAGATTATTTTCTGAAGCTAGAGAAGGAAGTGGAAGAAGCACATACTTTACAAAATGGAATAGAAGCGATACCAGCATGAATACCTGCTAGTGATATGAGATTTTTCACCTGTTTCACATACAATGATAATCGAATGGAATACTAGTTTGTTAGAAAACTGATAACGAAAAAAAATAAGTCAGCACACTCATCGTCGTACAATACACTACGTAGCAAAAAACAAGGAAATGTAACAAAACCCTTTTGAATAGCATGATAAAGGAATATACGCCTTGACAGATCTTCTAGCATATTGAGTGACTAGATCAAGATGAACTTTCCTTACCAGGAAAGCACTTGATTTATAGCATATTGTACGATCAAGAAAAATGATTTGCTAAGAAAAAGAACTGAGAAGGGAAATATCACTTATATGGTCAAGTTAGTTCTTACAGGAGGTGCTCCGTCACAAAATTGAATTACTCCTCGTCCAATCAAGCTACCCTGTGAAACAGAAGGAATGTGGAATATCTTATCAACTAAACCATACGAATATAAACTTTGAATAGTAAAAGACTAATTGAGTAACTAGAATGAATAAACGCAATCAGATCACAAAACAATCATAGAAGGCAAATGAAAGTCTAAAACTCCAAAAAATTTCATGAAAATTGCTCCACCTTTTTACTGACGCAATTACGCAATCATTAAACGACAATACAACTGAGCACAGTTACAACTGTATCTATGTACATTTTCATGTCAGACGTTCTTTAATTTTTAACCTGGAAGCGTATCTGCGCTCAATTGCCAGTACATCATGATTGCAAAACAAAACAGAGGAAAAGGATGCAAGGTGAGGCCATCAGCTATATAGCACAGTCCTGATAGAAAAAAGCTTTAACACTCTAAGGCCTCGTTTGATAGAGAGGATTAGCTTGGATATATTGAAGGCATTTTGAAGGGAGAAATGGACGACAACTTCTCTATTTTGTCCAAGTTGAAGATTACTCATGAAGAAAAGTTGTCGCTTTTAATCCTACCATTTTTGTGGGGACAGATAGGGATATCTTTTCTTCATGAGTAATCTTCAACTTGGACAATATGGAAGTTCTCATCCATTTCTTCCTTCAAAATGCCTTCAATGTAGTGAATAGTTCTATCAAAGTTAGCCCTCCCTATCAAACGAGGCCTAAATGTGTACAGGTGGTGAAGAATTATACGTCTTTTTTTTCTTTTTATTGCACATGCATAACGGCTTTTATATCTGACAAAGTACGAAGTTTCATCGGGACATGGATGGGGAAGAAACATCACATCATATAGCAGCAGATGCTGAAGGAAAAACATGACCGGGAAATTAATAACTTTTACAACTGCTGCCAATCACCTGAGAAAGTCCAACCATGTTGTAACCATCACTTAACTCACTCATATTTTTCACCTGTAATTGACACGAAAAATTGTTAAGAAAGATTTTATAATTAAATTTTTAGAATCAAGAATCGAATGTATTACCAAACTATATCACCACCTTCTCACAAGCAATGGCCGTCTGCAAGCAGAAGTATAATAAGTTAGTGTAAACAATTACACATGGAGCATTATTGATAACAAGCAATCCTTGTACTATCAGTTCAAGAGTCACCTGTTCCGATAAGGGCATTGTCCAGGAATCCCACGATCCATCCCCAATTTCTCTACAGAGAAAAGAAAATGAGTACATTCAGAAAACAAACTTGTGTATAAGATGCCCATATACATCATAAATACAGTAAAACAAATTTTTTTTTGCATACATGCAGTATCCTTGGGAACCCGACCAGTTGCTCAAGAGCTCAGTGAACTGTGTGACTCCTCGGTTGCTGCATTTATCACTGATTCCTGTCATTAAATACAAATAAAACCCCATCATTATGATAGATTAATAATTAAACTGAAAATATGACTTTAGTCCATGAAACTTATTTTTCTCCACATAAAACCCGACATAAGTTTTTTACTGGAATAAAACCCGTTTACTAGATTCCACATCAGCAAATTCATTAATTATATTTGACTTTACACATTTAAAATTTTTCAATGCCCAAAACACCCTTATTTGAAAGTTTGATTTACACAATTAATTCCATACAAATTGTAAGGGAGAATTAATGATTTTACAAAACTAAAAAAATAATAAATTCATTGCATAATAAATAATAACAATAAAACATGCCTAATAAATGTAGTATTACATGCTTAGTTAAGTCAATAAAAATTATATTTTACATATAAATGTAGGTAAATTATTTTACACACACACATATATATATAACAACAACAAAAAACGTGCATGATATACATAAAAATTCATGCAAAATAATTTACCTACATAATAAAAGCAAACCCAAATATATGCAGAATAATATACCTACATAAAAAAGAATGTTATTATTTTATTCAATACTAGTTTAGCTATTATTTGTACATATAATAATAAAATGTGCTCAATACATATGATGATACATACAAAATAAAATACCTACATAATGAAGAAATGTTATTTGATTCAAAATTAATTTACTTGCAAAATAAAGCAATTGTATTTTATTCAAGATTAATTTACCTATTATTTGTACATATATCTTATAACAATAAAATGTGCCAAATATATGTAATAATACATGAAAAATAAATTACCTACAAAATATATGTTATTTGCTCATCATAAATTTAAATATAGGAAGATTAATTAGTTTAATATGTTTGATCATATATGTAGTACTGTGCAAGTATATGTGTGTGTGCGTGTGTGTATATATATAATACTAATACTATACGTTCATATAGGTAAACTATATATGTGTACATATATATATTAAGCTTATGGTAGTAATATATACATTTGAAGTATATATGTGTGTGTTAGGGGTAATAATATGTGCAATAATTATATTTTTTATTGTAATTAAGGTGAGTAATAACATTTATTGATTTTATTTTGAATATTGTGGTACAAATTGTAAATATTTTGTAATAATAGGTCAATTACTTCTATACTTGGTAGTCATTTTTAAATTTGGGTTTTGTTTACATGTTTATAACTAGGTGGGTTTTTGTCTAGAAAATAAGAGTTGCAAGGGTCTATATCTAAAGAACCCATAATTAAACCAACTCTTCGCAGCATACTACAAGAATTTATCTAAAAACTGAGCTACTAATCCATCCAGACGCAACCATCAGAGAATCTGAGAGACGAAGTCATTTCAAATAAATTTCACTCACCGCTTTCTTTCGGAAGCCCAAGCAATCAGATTTTATAAGGTAATTACTGAAAGAAGATCTACAATGGTAGCAGATCTACAATGGTAGCAATTAGTTTTCTAAGTGAAAGGGTGAAGCAAAGAACAACTCAACAAAGTCATCAGCAGAATTTGTATTAAAATTAACGCTCCTACTTCTTCGTAAGTACCAACCAATTCGGTGAGTCCACTATTTTTCTTCCTTTATGTAAGACAAACTTGCATGGACAACATGATAGCTACCTAAATAGATAGATACACTTCTAAGAAAACGTTCGTTCTTCTCTCAACTGAGGAAATACTAAGGCCGAAAAATGAAATGTTTATAACCTATGATTCTTAGGTGACTAAACTGAAAATCAATTGTTAACGAATGTTATTCATGTACACCTTTTAACAACAAAACAAATCGAAACTGTCAATGATCCAATTGACGATGAATCGTCTCAACATTCGGGCACCAAATAGTTATAAGTTTCCCAGAGAAGCAAGGAGCAAGCAAACTATGTAGGACACAAAATTAACAAGGTAAGAGCATCAACCCAATTGGGCAACAAAATTCAAAACTATAAAAGCAAACTAACCGATGCTAAGACTGGCAACTTAAAGGGTAAAATTAGCAAATGATGCCACAGAACTAGAAGCTAACTAAACAGCATAAAATTCAAACTTCCATTGAATTGCTTGTTCTAATTCACAACAAAAACCACTAAAAATAAAAGAAAATCTGCGGAACCCATGAAGTTGAAAAGAAAAACAAGAATATGAGAGAAATTACCATGAAAAACAACGAAAGGAACAGAGTGGGTTAGTGGGATGAGAGTGATGGTGAAGAAGAAGAAGAAGAAAATGACTGGTACTGGTGGAGAAGCCATTGTTGCCAACTGGGTTTTGCTTCTAGTTGCCAAAAGCTTTGGCCTTTGAGGATTTTAGAGGGATTAAGAGTTGAGAATCCTAAGATTTTGGGTTGTTTGGGACTCTTGAGAAAATTGTGTTTCATATGTTTAGAGAGGGGGGGGGAGCCAACTACCGTTCAAGGGGTTGGAGCTGACGATTGCCATAAATAGGAGACAGGTGTCCATTAACCCCATCCAAAAGTCATTTGAGTCAAACAACTCATTGACAATTTGTCAACAAACAAGTGTTCTATTTTTTTTTTTTTTTTTTGTTCGAAAAAAAAATGTGTTCTATTCAAGTGTTCTGTTTGTTATATGGAAAACATTTACTTTATATTTATTTTGTCAAACTAGATTATTTTCATTAAATAAAAAGACCAACACAAGCAAAAAAAAAGTCCAAAAAGCAATCCACAACCTAAATACAAACCCAATAGCAAATAAGCAAATATAATTAAAAAACCAAATGTCGCTAGTTGAATAATAACAAAAATACCTAAACCTGGAATAGAAGCCAAATGAGCTCCATCAAAAGGCCACCACCACCAAGAGAACGAACCAACGGAACAACTGGATCAACGGAAAATAAGATCAGTGATCCCCGCGCTCCCATAATCCTAGCAAATAGTGCTAAAAACACTTCAACAGCCACCAAACATTCAAAGTCATTTGAGTCAAACAACTCATTGACAATTTGTCAACTAACGTGTTCTATTTGTTATATGGAAAAAGCTTTTTACTTTATATTTATTTTATTTACAACGTATTACCTTGGAAAATGAAATAATAAAAAACTAAAATTTTAGCCGTGAATAGAATTTTAACCAATCATTATAACTTTTTATAATTCTAACCAAAACTTAACATAAAAATACTACATTATTTTTTATTTGGAATTCACACCCATTTACTCGCTCGACTGCGTTCACACTCATTTCTTAGCCATTAAAGCTTCACTCCAAATCTTTAGCTGTCTTTCTTCTCATGGATCATTCACACTAATCATTCCATTCATGACACCCAACACCCCACAATAGCACTTTTGCTCCTCTCAAATACCCTAGGAGATAGTGGATTAAATTTCCTCCCTCCAACCCCCCCAAAACTTCTCCACCCCATTCCATTGCATTGGGTTGTCGAGGAGCCTAGTTGCTCATCTAAGTTAAAATCGACTAACCTAGCTCTTACACCATGTGACGCAAGGCTGATGTCAGCTATAATTAGGGGTGCAACTTAGGTTGGGCCAATCCAAACCCGCCTATGTCCAACCTGACTTTAAATCCGAACAAGTGGGTTTTTTTTTTGAGTTATAACCTGCCCGAACCCAACTCAAGTTCAACTCATTCATTGATTGGGTTGAGTTGGATTGATCATTTGTTTGTCCATCCCCAACCCAAGTTGACTAACCAAACCCAATCTAACCAGATTGTAACCCATATCAATTAATGCTCATACTATACCCAAGTGAGCCAAGTCCAAAAACCAACGCCCTTTCTAATATTTTTTTTAATAAATTACCCTTTATAATTACTTAAGCTTTTAGAGAATAAGAGGTTTTGATTAGTCAGCGCATATTCATAGTCTCTAAATCCTAAAGTTTTATAGTAGATTGATTTATGAAATTAAAGTTAGTTAGATTTGATGCTACTTGGCCTAATTTTTTTAGAAATTCTTGGAAACTAAGTTGTTACAAAATTAAACTTGAAAAAGTTAGGCAACTCGAACCCATCCCAAGTAAACCCTAACCCAATTAAATCTGAGCCCAAATGAACCCGAATGAAACCTAACCCGAACCTGAGTTTGAATTGTAAAAGTTGGGTTAGGGTTGTGTTGACCTTCCAACCCGTCTAACTTGCCTGAGTTGCACTCTTAGCTATAATTACAAAAATTAACAAAAGAATTATAAAAATTAATTAAAAATACAAAAAAAAATAAAAAAAATCATAAAATTAATTAAAAATACAAATATATAATTTTTTTTTTTTCATAAATACCTAACCATGTTCTTCCACCACCACATTTCAATATTTTTAAATACTTTCAACCAATCTCTTATTATCATTTGAAATAAAAAAATAAAATTATCATTTATTATTTTATAATTATTTTAATATAAATTGTTTGGATTATTTAATTTATGGATGGTTGTGCACTTAGATAGCTACTATTCATTTAGAGAATTGAATTGCCTATTTCTCATGGGCCTTTTAAGGGTGGAAATGCTTTTGGATGGAGGGAATGCATTGGATGCTGTTGAAAGCGATATAAATAGAAGTGCCTCATGTAAAGTGTCCTAATTGTCAATTTTATGTTTCAAGTTCTGCATTGCCATGTGTGATTACTGTGCCTTTAGTGGTTAGGGATTTTCCTTTGTTCTACAATAAAGGGTGAGGGCGAGTTTGAGAGCTTGAAAAAATATTATTGTGATGTTAGCTTATCACATTTGATTTGTGGATGTATTAATTTTATTTTTGTATAACGATATGTTTATGCTAGGTGACAAGTGAAACAAAATATTATCTAAAAAATGTATACAACTTAAATAGTCATTTCATATTACAGTATATTTAGCATCTCTATTCAATATTTCAAATGTGATATGCAGTGCCAACTTTCTTCCAAGTTGCTATAATTGATGTGGGATTTAACTGCTTGATCTCCAACATTTTCTTTTACAACAACAAAGTTTGGTGTCGATCTTTTTTAATTATTATTTATTGATGAGTCACATAATCCACCAGTAGCATACAACGGTATATATACATTAAGGGTCAATTTAGGATTGTTGTGCTTTAAAAAAAAATTGTTGTGCTTTTAGATTAATCAATTGTAAGATAAAGCAGTTGAGTGTTTGATAAACTGTATTTTTAAAAGTGTTGTGAATATGAAAAGCAATGTAAAAATGTTTGGTGAATTTTATTGTAAACATTGATATGATTGTACATAATAACAAAGATGGACATAGTAGTAAAAGTGGTGGCAACGACAACGATACTGGGAGTAGTGGTGGTGATGGCAGCGACAATGTGTGTGTGTGTTTTTATTTTTTATTTTTAACAAACAAAATTATCTATGCAAAGGGGAAGGGGGATGGCTTAGCCTCACAATGGGCTAACAATAATGTGATTCAAATTTGTCTTTGAAGAGAATCAAACATAAAATCTCTCATTTAGAAGTGCAGAGGAATACCACTAGACAGTAGTACTAACTGTCTCCAAGAAATGTGTTAACTTATTATTTTATTATATATTGGACTCCTGAGACACCTCTAAGACCAGCACATGACATCAAAACGTACCTATTTAACTATGATGCCTCACTTCCAAGCCATGACTAAAACAACCTATTAGTTTAACAACACGATATCATTTCTTCTCTTTTATGGCTGCATCTAACCTTTGTGTTAGACTGCCTATGTATCCAAAGATGAGATCAAGTCATTCGTAGTTCACCTTTATGTTAAGCTCTGAACTTTCTCAAGGCATTAACTGGCAAGAAACATAAAGTTCCAAAATCACTCAATTGAACTCAATGAGCATGGTTCACTAGGTTCTAGACTACTTAACGCAACCATTTAGCAACATGATTGTTATTCATCTTTCACATATATCACACTGTTTTTCAACAACAATTCTACAATCACAATAAATAATCAATTCAATGAATTAAAAGATGTACTATATTAACATTTAAATACGTTAATCAACCAGTAAGATAAAAAATGCATTCATAAACCATGCTTCATAAAATCATAAATAAACTCATTGGAAATCACAAAGCCTAATTATGAAAAATCAAACTTTGTAACTAACTAAAATTTGACAAAAAATAAAATAAATTCACGTAAATACGAAACATGAAAAATTAAATAGTGAAATACAAGGACGAAATTTCACGTCTATAGTTTTTTAGAAAAAAATAATTTTAAAAGTTGTATTCTATTGGTGAATTATGAGACCCCACACATCAGTAATAAAATCGACTCTATTTTTATTTGTTGTAAAAAAATACTAGAAAACAAGAAGTTAAATGACTCATCTGCCACGTCAATTATGACATTTCCTTTAGAGAGAAAACCCTTGATATCTTTTAATCCTAATTAGCATATTTGCCATTTCTTTGGGAGATGCTCTGATACCACCTTCAAATTTTGATCTTTTTTTTAAAAAAAATTTGTTCTCTACCAGATATGCCAAGTTAAACACAACTTGTTTTCTTAAAGGTTGACAAGATCGCAAAATGTTGAGACAACAGTCGAAAATTTTCAAACAAAAACACAACATGAAAGATCAATGCGTAACATGACACCACCAGTTTAAGAAATAAATAATGTAAAACAAAGTTTAATTCATAATTTAATACATTGAATATGTAAGTAAACCTAGTACAACCATTAGCCAAACATACCCTTCCAAGGCGGACAGCACACACCAATTCATCAATCTTTCCATTTGGACCCACACGTGCGGCCCAAGTTTTGATCGCATCCCCCGACCACTTCAATAGAGAGAGAAACGAGAGAGCAACAGCGAGCGACTTGGGGGAGCGAGAAACAGTCCCACCGAGAATCTTTGCCCTCAAACCAATCAGAGTCCGACTCGTCTCGCTTACGGTTACTGGCACCGCCGCTAAACTGCGCCGGCGGTGACATGTTCCTTCTCGCTCTCACGGACAAAAGGTTTTTGCAATACCAGGTTGGTCTCTCGCTCTTTCCTCTGATATATTTTCGAGGGCTTAGGGTTTTATGGTTTCTATTGGAATTAGAGGTTTTCATCAATTGAATGTCTTAAATTTGGGGCTTTTTGTATTAAGACTAAGCTTTTTGAATTCGATTTCCTAATTTTTCAAAATTTAGCGTTGAATTTGCAGTAGAAAATTTTGGGGATTTCTTTAGTTTTGTCTGTTTCCAATAGTAGTTTTCGAAAAAAAAAAAAAATTATAATTCCACGGTCATTGATTGATTGATTTCTTGTTTGTTAACTTATTGTTAAGATTATGTGGGCTTTCGTCAGTTAAACGTGATTAAATTTTGTGCTTACGAACTAGAAGGTTGAGATTACGGGTAGGCCGTAGCGTGGGGTTTTCTCGGATTTGTTTGATTGGGAATTCTTATGGATGCATTGTTGTTATAGATTGAGTTGGGATCACATATTTAGTTTTAATTATTATTTTTATTTCTGAAAAGACGGATTCTAGTTTGAGTGAATTTGCAGCATGGGCCCTGAATTGGAGCCGAAACCAAAGTCGGGAACTGGAATGGAACTGTCAGTTGCTAAGGATGGAAGTATCAACCGAGACCTAGAAGATAAACTTATGCCTTGTGTAAGTAACTACAAAGATAATATTTTTGACATGGAAACGCGATTGGTTGGACAAACTTCTGCATCAAATGTAAGGGAGAATGTGGAGGTAAACAGAACTGGGTTTCCAAGTCCTAATGTTGTGCAGATCGTTGAAAGCGAATGCGGGGATTTGACGGAGAGTTCGAGTTCTTTTGGTGATACAACTTCAGGGACAGAGAATGGTTATGTGTCGGATGGTGATGAAGTTCAGTCGCCGTGGCATGGAAATGAGTTCGCCCCTTTCTATGATGAATATTTTGGTGCATTTGAAACAAGGTGCGTTTTGGTTTGAATTATGTCATGTATGATTTTGGTTTGAGTTATGTTGTTTATGTCTTACTTAGATCTTGTCTATCGGGTAGCATTAAAGATATCACACCTAGCATACAATTACAAAGGTAAGGTAGACGAGTCTCTTGTTTGCAATCTGGTCCCTATTTTTCAAAATATTAATCGTATTATGTATAGAGGTTCGATAATATTTGTTGATTTAAGTTTGTCAAATGGGGCTTTCTTAGCTTGAGGCCATGATAGAGATGGATTTTGGCTGGAGTCACTCTTTGGAACAATTTCCTTTGTCTGTGAATGCTCATTTAAATAATTCTTATGGAGTGAAAGTTAGGCCTGGTTTGCTAGGTTCTAACCTGCATTGCCAGGGAAAAGGAAGGTGAGAATGAATGAGGTGAATATTAATCTCTGGGTACTGGATGGGGATAGGTTCAACTCCTTCCTTCAGGTTCTAGCTAGTAATAGTATGAATATCATTTGGGGATAGGATCCCGCTTTTTGGGACGTGATCATGTGAGACAGCTGGTCGATTAGTCGTATGTTGCCGGTCAGCTACATATGTTAAAATCTGTTACCACTTTGATGAAGATCAATTCTATCGTGAATAAAAAGGAGGCATAGTTGCAAATTATTCTGATTTTAAGGATATACTTATTTCAGTTTTTTAATGGTTGTGCCCACTATAGTGTAACCATGATATATTTTGGATTCAACTGTATTTTATTGTGACATTCACATTGTTTTATGTGTATATCTGATTGTCTAGGAGGAAAAGGTTGACCACTCATTGGAATAAGTTTATACGTCCTCTTATGTGGCGCTTGAAATGGCTGGAACTGAAGATTAAGGAACTTCAGTCGCAGGACAAAAAATATGATTTACAGCTTGCAAAGTATGCCCAAATAGAGCAGTCTGAATTTGATGCAATGTCAAAGTTAACGAAAAGGAAGAAAAGAAAGAGAGTTGAAGATACTACCAATATAGCATGTTATATGTCCCAACATAATCTTTTCTCCTATGGTATGAATATCTAAAACTTTTCTTCATGCATTGTTGGCAATTAAAAATCTGTTTTGTGTTTCATGCTCTTTCCTTTTCCAGAAAGTAAGAGGTCTCGTGCTAATGGTGTTTTCATGGAGGGAGACTGGGGTGATTCTGGTAAGTACGGAATATCGTTTTGTCTACAATTTTGGTGGTTGCGTACCTTGCCAGTACACTAAACTTTCCTTATGGGTATGCATACATGTAATTTTCATGTGCAAAACGCCTATGAAAGATGAGTGTGTATGCCTCTGTTTCTGCATCTGTTTTGTTTTTTACTTTACGAAGGCGAATATAGTTGTGTATCACCATGTTTGTTGGCTTTTATTTAGTTTCCATAATGAAGTCAATTTTTTTGCACATATTGGAACACTGCCTCAACATATTAATTGCATGTTGTTGATGATATAATCTTTGTAGTACCGATTTTATTGGACAAATAGATGTTTCCCAATTTTTGTTTACTCTTCATGTTCTTTGTGCTGGAAAGTGAAATTCAGAAATTGAAGGAGACTTGCTATTCGGTTGTCTGTCCTTTAAAATCCTTTATATGCATTTGCATTTTCAGTTGTTAATTAGGCTCATTTCCTACCGCTTATTATTCATCTGTGGAGCTCTCAGATTTTGATAAGTTGAAAGTACCCTCTTAGGGTTTGTCTTATCAAGAAAACAGTAGAAGGCTTTTCATTATTGCATTTACTACCACTATAATTACTGCAGTGAGGTTATTTTACCTCATCGTGGGAGACCAATCTTTGACTGAGTATTGTTAGACAATGAATCTTCTACTCTTCAATTTTGTGTAAGAGTCCGATTCTTATCTGAGGAGTGCTCAGATTTTGATAAGTTAAAAGTACCCTCTTAGGGACCTGCTCCTTTTTTGTTCTATCAAGAAAACAGTAGAAGGATTTTCACATATTGCATTTGCTACCACTATAAGTACTGCAGCGAGAATTTTTTTTACCTTATCATAGGAGACCAAATCTTTGTTTCTATGAATTCTTTGTTTGAGCATTGTTAGACAATGAATCTTCTACTCTTCAATTTTGTCCAATTCTCAAGTTGTAAGTGCATTTATTTTCTAACATTATATTTACCGGGAAGTCCTGTGGTCTTTCGACATGTTTTTGATTTTCAGAGCTTGTCATGGAAAAAACCTAGTGTTAAGAATTTAGTACATTATATGCTAAAGTTGATTTAAGCTTATTGCCTCATTAACCTCTTACGTTCTTAAAGAATTTGAATTTGAATTGTTCCATGGAAATGTTGGGACTTTGAAGTTTCTTTTGGTTTATGCTATTGCAGGTTCTGTATATATTTTTGAATGCTGAAATCTGTCACTTTAATTGATTATTTGATCATTGTTTGTTATTTTCCGTTCATTATTTTCATTCCCTTTTTTAATCTTCCATATAGCAGGAGACAAAACTTGCACTGGCAATAAAGATGTTGAGACAAATGATATATGGTCATCTCTTGAATTCAGGGATGGTAATAGTTCCTTGGAAGATATTCTTTGGAAGATTGAAGTGGTACATTCAAAAGTATGGAAGTTGAAGACTCGAGTGGACAAGGTCGTGAAGGAAAATCAAGGAAACATTTCTTCAGCTAACAACTTCCAAGTACCCTGTGATGCATTGATGGGATCTGCTCAAAATCCTGCTTTTCGTGGTGAAAATGGAAATAGATTACTGTTCAAAAGTTTATCCACTGCATCTATGCATATCAAATGTGACACGGGAGATCCATTCTTGCCTGAGATTGCAGTTTCAAGTCTTGCAGAGCTGACCCCTCGTCCTGGTATTACTGTAAACACAGATCAGCCTCTGGTTGGCAGTGTACTTGAAAATGTAAGTGTTTCCTTTACGAATTGATCAAAACGCTTTTATTTTTTGGTTTAAATTTATTGTATTATATTTGTGACTGACCATTTTTATAGATTTGGCACTGTTCTTGTTAAATGCTGCTTTGTGTTATAACCATCATGCTGGATCAATCATGAAGATGGACTGTTAACCCTTATGTTGTATCGTGACAGGCCGGGGATATACACCTTATACCTAAGGATGCTGTCAAGGCTGAGCCATGTGATTTAGAAGTTAAAGATCCGTTCATACGGAAGCCTTGCATATCACCTCAAGAGCAGAAAACCAGTTGTCCTGCTCCAGTTTCGGAAACTGTGTTGCCCACAAATGTTCCTGTTCGGTATTCAGAAAAAGTGATGCCCACAAACTCCAGTGTACCTAATGCAACTGAAGAACCAGATTCCTCTACCAGGACTGCCTTGCCTTGGAACACAAGAAATCAAGGGAGGCGAAAACCCGGCTCGTACTTGAAAACTTTAAACCGGAAATCCTAAAGTTAGCTGGTTTAGAAGCGACGGTATTTTTTTTTTTTTTTTTTTTGCAATGGTCTCTTGTATATGCTACTTATTCTGCTGTAAATGCTTTTTGTCACACATGCTTATATGATTTCAACTGTAAATCCTGCTTCATCAGGCCAGCAAACTACAGTTTGCTGGAAATATTAAAATCCTGTTTCGTGTTTGATCAATTGAATTTCGGCATTATACCTCGATTACCGTGTTCTTAATAATTGCATTTTTAATTGCTTTGCTTGGTTGATTTGTATATCTGAGGTCTCGTTTGGCAGCTCGGACCGTACTGACTATTTCAGTCGGATAGGATAAATAGTCGTCGGATAGGACTGACTAAATTAATCGGGCGTTTGGTGTTGTATCGGATTAATTTATACATCGGATAATAGGTCGGACTATAATAATTATTTTAAATAATTTCACAAAATAAGTGTTGTTAAAATGAAAAAAAAAGGAAGAAAAACAGGTGAGGAAAAAAAAAAAAAAACATCATTACACAGACAAAAATTAAAAAATAAAAATAAAAAAAAACCCAGATCTCTTCCCACTTCCCAATCATGTCTTCCTATCTTCACCATCTTCCCCATGCATCAATTCCCACCCTCCCATATGAACCCACTTCCTCATTTCTTCAAATCTCCCAAAACCCATATCGATTCACCAACCAAAAAAAAAAAATCCCAGAAATTAAATATTTTCAATGCTAATAAACCAAATTTTATCATCGGAGCCTAGCTCCCTTCCTTGTCGGAGCCCAGCTCCCTTCCTCCTCCTCGTCCTTCTCGTTGGAGCCTAGATCGGAAGAATTTGAATCATCATCTTTTTCCTTCAACCCACGGAAGTATTGTTGTCCTGTCAAAGATCGAAGGCGAACGGAGGAGGTGGGAGGTGTGTGTGTGTGAAGGAGGAGGGAGGAACAGAAAGAAAAAAAGAAGACGACAAAGATGAACTTGAGATCTAGACAAGAGAGAGCAGGCAGGTGAGATGGTTGAAGGAGTCATGCAAGAGAGGAACGGAGTGAGCAAGAGAAATCTCACCTGACTAAATAATACAGAGGTTTTGGACGTGATTCGTAAGCGGGTGGGAGGGGTATAAAATAAGTGGGGCCGGATTAAATAATCCGGTACTTATTTAATACGAAGCTCACCAAACACCCGTTTCGTATTATTAATACTATCCGATGGTCTTATACGGTGTGCCAAACGAGGCCTGAGGGTCCTGTCCGTATTCTCTTTGTGATGATCCGACGGATTTTTCAATCACATTCGTTCATGATATATTGTGCGGTCATAAATTATTGTAAATCTTTTTATTTAAAGTTAAATGTAAACAGTACCTGACGAAAACTGGTCTCACAATGTACGATAAACGGATGTGATTGAAGGATCACTGGGATCCTCATTCGATTTGTATTCGATGTGATAAAAAAATTTCCAAAAGGTAATTTTGTATTACGGTAAATACTTGTACATGCACTACTATTATTGTAAAACAAAGCTTTTTAGCCAAAATGATTATTGAGATTTGTATAACTTCTCACTTTGGTCGTTGAGATTTGAAATCAATACAAGTATCCCTGAGATTGTTCACCATCAATCACTTTGGTCCTTTCGTGCATAGTTATGTTAAATAAAGATTAAAATGACACAACTACCCTCAATTTAATAAATAGTAAGCCAAAATGATTTGATGTGAGGGTATTTTTGTTATTTTATTCTTATTTAATGAATATTTTTTAGGAAGGACAAAAAATATTGATTGTGGACAAACTTAAGGACCAATTTTATTGATTTCAAATCTCAAGGATCAAAATGAGGAGTTGTGCAAATCACAGGGACTATTTCAGATAAAAAACCTAAAAACAACAGAAGGAATTCAACATCTAGAAATATCGTTGTACCAAGGTTCTCTTGCTAGTACATGTATGTGTTACGATCAAAATTGTTGCAATCTATTTTAATTTTATTGTATTTTATTTCTCGAAGTTGTGTAACTATGAAAATACCCCTAAAGAGCTAAGTAAAAATCTTATGTGGACATTTGAGCTCTTTTCCTATTTTGTCTCTTTTGTTATGTTATTTGAATAGTACTTGAGGATACAAACGTGTAAGCGCAAATGTGACGTAAGTCAAATGTGTTAAATCTCATTCCTCTCTTTCTAATCTTCATTTTGACATATTATACATAAAAAAAAAATAGTTGGGTTGTGAACCTGTTATGCTCTGTGAAGAATTCTGGCAAAAAATTCAGCTTCCGACAATTAGCGAGAGGAAGGAGACAAGCGAATATCCCACAACGACGATGAAATATTGCGTTAAAATCAAAATTTAACGCTATGCGTTGGCATGTTTAACGCAGTTAAAAGCGAGTACATTGCTAGTAGTGAACCACTTTACTTGCCATCAGTGGCAAGTATAGGCATACGTGCACCACTGGCAGCTACGAGGATAACTGCACCACCAACTATGATGACTGACCACCGGCGTGTGGCAGCGTCTGAGTTTTTTTTCAAGCACTTTTAACACCCGGCACGAGCAAACAAAAGGAAACTTAAGAGTCTTTTCCTTAGTAATTATGAGTTTTGAGTGGTATAATGACCAATAGTGGTTTCCTATATAGGAGAGACTAGTCCCGAGAATTTCAGAGGCCAAGTAGGGCAACGCAGTTACGATCCGACAACACATCAGTAAGTAGGCTTTTGTTTCCAACCTATATGATATATGATTTCCGAGAGTGTTTATATGAAATATTTTGTTATCATGACATTCTTTTACTTAGAAAATGCAATTATTTTATTTGATGTTAATCTTGTGATTTATGAGATTTGTGAATATTTTTTTCTGCACATCTACATATGAATTCATTTGTGTTAGTACTTGTTCTGCAACCAGGACTAGCTTTATTTGTATGTTCACACTGCACTTACACTCAGAATAGATCCATTTTAGTGCAAGCCTGTACTAGTTTGCATTAGATGTAATACACTTAGCATGAGTTTGACGTGATTATAGTACTTAAGCGTAAATTTATACACAGAGCTTGTTCATGTTAGAATATATCTCAGCATGGACTCATACTAAATTGGTATGTTTTTAGTTGAATAATGATGTAAATTGAGCTTCTTTATGGGAAATCACTTATCACATTGACATTGATATTGACATTAGGGCTGGGTTCGGTTCAAAACGGTTCAGTTTTTTGCCAAAATCGAAACCGAACCGAAATTTCGGTTTGGTTCGGTTCATTTTTTTTAGGTTTTTTTTCGGTTCGGTTTTTTTCGGTTTCGGTTTTTTCCGGTTCGGTTTTGGTTTTTTTTGGTTTTTTATTTTTATTTTTAAATGATGTAAATGGAAGGAACCTACCTATCAACCTCCCAGTTCTCATATATCAGAGAATTGAGAGCCTCAAAATCCTGAATATATTCAAGTAATTCAACTACTTGTGATCAAGCAGAACGAATTCAAATTTTCAAAAGTTAAGCAAATACATAAACATATATTCTTCAAGGAAATGTACATCGCCAGGATTCAAAATTCAAAAACTTTAAAATTTACAAAATCATGAAATAACTCAACAAATTAACTGATCAATGCAAATCGAAAAAAAAAAGCAATTGGGTTCTTCTCAATACCATAATCGGATTTCAATAGCGCATGCCCAGTGCCCACATTCAAATTCATAGTCAAGTCCACAATAGATTTAGAAAATTCCAAAACATATTCAGAGAAAAATACAAACTTTTTCACCTTAAATTACATAAATTTCAAATGGGTAACCATACAATTAAAAACCTATGAACTGACAAATAAATAAAACCACAACCTTTGTTGCAGCGATATCGCCATGATCGTCGCAAGCTCTTTCAATTCCTCTTTTCGTCGGATCTCGAAAAGGGCGAGGGAAAATCATGGTTTGGAAGAAGGAATCCGTGAGGAGGACAGGAGATGACTGGAGAGAGTGATTTGGAGGAAGAGAGGAAGGAGAGGGAAAGGGAGGGAGGGGGAGAGAGAGAGAGAGAGAGGAAGCAAAGGCAAAAAGGAAGCAGCGGACGGAACAGAGAGGTGTTTGAGATTTGAAATGAAATGGGAGTGAGACGGCTAGGGTTTGTAAAGTTAAGAAATTTTATAAAGCATTAAACATAAGAAACCTATAAATAAATTACGGGTACAATTATAACAACACAAAGTCTACAGTCAAGTTGGCTTGCAACAACCAACCCCAACCCGCAGGGAAAGGGTTCAAACCCTGACGACAACATGCATTTTTTTGTATTTATATATGATTTTTTTTTCAGTTTGGTTCAGTCCGGTTCGGTTTCCAAACCTCAAAAACCAAAACCGAACCAGCCAAATTTGGTTCGGTTAGGTTTGGTAGTTTCGGTTCGGTTTTTTTTCTGTTCGATTTTTTTCGGCCTCGGTTCGGTTTGGTTTTCAGTTTTCGGTTTTTTGAACCCACCCCTAATTGACATGCTATTGTGCCCCAGAAAAGAAGACAAAGGATAATCACAAAAGTAGTCATCACAAAGGCGATCGTCTCTCGGTAAGCTTTCTTATCTTCAATCCCGAATAATATTTGGTGTTTCAAGTACTCTCGTATGTGAACTATATGGAAAAGCCTTTAAGGGAAGAGATTCTCATTTTTTTCTTTTTCAAATGGAGATTTGTTGTGGGATTCACATCATATCGAATTTCAAGAATCCTAACAATCTATTTTTTAAGTTGCATCTCTTAGATCACCCTTACAAAATATTAGCTAAATCGGAAATATTTGAGACATCTAATTGAGTTCAAGGAAAGTGACGAACACTTTGTTCTGTAAGAAACAAGGAAATTTCATTTTGATAATTAAACAGGCAAATGATTTTGGATTGAATCAAATTTTTGCAAGGATGATCTATGAATAGAGACTTACAAAATAGACGATTCGGATCATTAAAATTCGATGTAGAGTGGGTCTCACAACTAATTCCCATTTTTGAAAAAAATGGAGATACCTCCCCTTAAAAGCTTGATAATATGCATTCTATATGTACCTTAAATCCTTTGTGTAACATATTGATTTGCAATCTTTATGAACTTGAACTTTGAAGTTCGAACAAATAATATTAAATTCATTTGAAACTTTGGTTTGTAATTTAAATTTTTGTTTTTTGGTTTGTAACTTTACTTATTTTATTTTGGTTGCAGTATTTTTAATTTAAGTGGCTTGCTATTATAATTACTAATGATACATTGATAAAATGATGAACATGATTTGCTACTAGTTTGTTAGTATAAAATTATAACTTGTGTAAAGAACTATGTTGATAAATAGAATTTGTATGTATTGGGCTAACCAAATTGGTATGAATACAATAGGCTCAAAATTAGTTACACATCCATTGGCTGACCAAAATTCAGCCCAAAATTAAGATGAAAAAAAAAAAAAACCCTAACAAATTGGGGCTGAAGGCCCAATCTCAATCCTGAACCAAAAAATTGAAATAATTTTGTTATTTTACCGAATTTTGGTTCGGTTTTCAGTATTCAACCAAAATTTTGATTTGGTTTTCAGCATTCAAGTTTCAGATCAGTATACAGAATAGAAACAACTGTATTTTTTACACAGCACTTGAATATCATGATTGCGTCACACTTCAAGAGTTCAGGAGCATGCCTAGGTTTTGATCCGTGACGAAGCCATAAATTGTGGAAAAAGGGCGAAATTGAAAAGATCTTCGCCACTGCTGGCATATATGGTTGTGGTTTGCAAATTTCTATAGGTCACTACTCATTTGAGTCGTGAATTAACTCTCATGCTACAAAAATTTCTAGTAGATTATTCATCCTCACAACTTCAACACAAATATGTTAGGGTAAAATACAAAAAACTACCTCAACTATTGGTGTCACGACATTTTCATACCTCATCTTTTAAAATTGACAATGTCATACCTCATCTTACGAATTTGTGCCAATGTTATACATTTCGTTAGTCTGCCATTAATTTGTCAGTTAAATGCTGACGTGGTTAGAGACGGGACTCACTCACTAATCCAACTGGATTAAAAAATAATAAAATATTTTTTTTGAATAATTAAATATTCAAAATTTTAAAAAATTAAAAAATTAAAAAAACTAAAAAATAGCCTAAGGATTCGGCATTCCCTTTCCTCCACCTGTACCAATCCTTTTTCTTCTTCTCTTTGACAGCCACCAAACCCTTCCCCGTCCCCCCAACCTTCGTCCACCACCCCCTTTCTTTCCTCTCTTTCTGGGGCGGAATCCCTCCCGCGAGTTTGTTGCTGCTGGCCCGAAACTGAATCAGCGACGAGCAGTTTCTGATCTCCGGCGGAATTTCAGTGGAGAAGTTATTAGATAGCAGCAGCAGCTTCATGAGATTCTGGAGATTGAAGAGCCCTTAGGGAATCGGCCCCGTCAAGCTGTTATGCGACAAATCAATGGCCTCGAGATTCACACAGTTGAAAATCGAGGGCAGAACATTTCCTTCGAGCTTGTTCTGCCACAAGAAGAGAAGAGAAAGGTTCGACAAGTTTCCGAACTTCATCGGTATCGAACCAGAGATCTGGTTATTGTCGAGCTTGCTGAGCTGGTTGTTGTAAAGAACCAACCATTTCAACCTGGTAAGGTTGCCGATTTGGGTTGGAATTTCGCCTTCCAATCAATTGGCGCTGAGGTGTGAAGCTGCTCGAGCTTCGGCAGCGAGGAAGGTTGGGGGTTGCACATTGCAGGTTGCCCAGAGAGAGAGGATAGAGAGAGGGTGGTGGAGGAAGGTTGGGGGACGGGGAAGGGTTTGATGGCTGTTGAAGAGAAGAAGAAAAAGGGTTGTGCGGGTGGAGGAAAGGGATGGCCGGATCCCTTAGGCGATTTTTTATTTTTTTTAGTTTTTTAATTTTTAATTTTTTGAATATTTAATTATTAAAAATATATTTAATTATTTTTAATCCAGTTGGATTAGTGAGTGGGTCCCATCTCTAGCCACGCCAGTTATATTTTATTATTTTTAATCCAGTTGGATTAGTAAGTGGGTCCCATCTTTGCCCACGTCAGCATTTAATTGACAAATTAACGGCAGGTTAAGGAAGGTATAACATTGGCACAAATTCGTAAGATGATGTATGACATTGTCAATTTTAAAAGATGAGGTATGAAAGTGTCGTGACAGCAATAGTTGAGATAATTTTTTGTACTTTACCCAATATGTTAAAACCAAAAGCACTCAACTAGGTACAACATATTTGTTAAGTGTATGTCTCACAAACAATTAGTTTTCTTCTATATCCAACCACTCATTTTAATTACTTCAATAGATACATACACTTGTCATATATTTGTTATAAACCACGAAATAACAATTCAGCAGCAGGAAGATACTAGAGTAATTCAGATACTCTAAACATATTCATACTTCAGTAATTCAGAGACTGTAAATGGTAAAAGGAAATAAAATGGCATGAGTAGTTAAAACCATACATATACATTATCCAGAGGTAAAGAGAAACTGCATAGGTGAAACGCCTAAAATGAGGGAGCTCGAGCTGGCTCCTCATGGTGAATTCCGATGACCGAAGACGCAGCAGCACCTCCTTGCGGTGCTCTAGCTTCGCCAATGGTTTCGGTCTTCGTCTGGATATCAGGTTCGGACTGTGTCGAAGATGCATTTTTTCCCGTGAAAATTCTTTTGTAAATCTTAACAGAAATGAGAGCCAACACTGTTGCTGATGGCACGAAAAAGACGTCAGGAATGGCCTTGATCATTTTGAGCTGGGGCACACTCTCCCCTGCCCTTTTAGCAGCCATGGCTACCGGCGGCGTTACAACTCCTGTTATCAGGGTAGCATTATCGACCTTGCTTAGCCTTACATTCTCCTTCATAAATTGGTTGAAGATGTTCCTCCTGTCTTGCACTCTGGCATTTTTCCAACTTATGAACATAGCCTGCTAATAGTTAGTGTGTTAGAGAAGAGAAGCTTGGCAAGTGAAGACGCACGGTCAATTTTAACTAACCTCGATTTCCTCACGCGACGGCACATTGTAGTGTTTACCGGGCAGAGAAGAATTGAAAGTGCTGGGTAAGATTGTATCAACGGCAAAGTATTAGATGCTTTGTGTGATGGTACATTTTGATGCAGAAACACATACAAGAAACTTGTACTTGAAAAAAGAAGAGGCATATTTATAGCTTGATATTCTTCGTCCAAAATTTAGGAAATCTAATGAAATTTGGGTCATAATAAAATGCAAGAATATGACTTAGGTCAATTATAAAGAAAAAGACACTTATTAGAGATTAGTTCTATGTTTATAACAATATGCTTTAGGCTGATTAAAACAAGAGTGTTCATTCTGCTGTGGCCATGTTTTCGTTTTTCTTAAGGCATTGTTTGGCAGATAGGATTAGTATGATATGTTTGGTACTAAAAATGAATAGCGATCGGATAAGAGATAACTTAATCATAATCTCATGTAAAAACTAGAAACCATGATAATGACATAAATGGTTGCTGGTTTGGTTGTGAAAAAAAGGGCCAATTTTGGTTGCTAATGCTGAACAGGACTTCTGAAAACAAAAGTTACAGTGTTTAGGTGATTTGGGTTCAATCTTGTATATTATTATTTCAAAATCACGTATTTTACTTCTCGCTAACTTGTATAAGAAGCTTACTTGAAAATATCGAGAATGGCGAACTGGAAATCCTCAAAATTTCGGATATCCTTGTCGACGAACTGCTGGTACACCTTTCCGATTAAAAAGTTTAGCATCTGGCTGGATTGCAGCCCTATAAACAGCTCAAGACCATTAGAGGAGTTGCATAAAATTATTTAACATAGTATCTTCAACAAAAGAAAGAAAAAACTACTGCAAAAAGAATTTCAGAAATGAAAACATAGTTTGTGAGAGTAAAAACACGAAACTAAAAATTCCAGATAGTTTGTGAGAGGAAAAACACGAAACTAAAAACTCCGGATGCAAACAATATAACATGAAAAAGAAAATTAACCAACCTCCTCCCAATCCCATGAAACTCATAGACTGTCCCATTCTTTAGAATCCCGGTACCAGCAGGTCCAAAACAATGTGTGTATGTATATATGTATTGAGAGAGGGAGAGAGAGAGGAGACAGAGCGGTTTGAGGGTTTAGTGAATGTCCCGTTTAGTAGGTGCAAGCAAGGTATCTGATCTTAGGCTTTCCAATTTCCATCCTCATTTGAAATCTGCTTCTTAGCTTGGAAGTTTGGACAATTGGTACCTTAGGACAGGCATCTGAAGTTGTACCCTCTGCAGAGGTGTCTTGCAGTTGCCAAAATATTCCTTCTTTCTTGCTTAATAAGCGAGCTGTTTGCTGAACAAGTTTACAAAAAAAGTTATGGAAGTCGCTGCTAAAAGGGAGAAGTCTTTGCTCTCCATTGTATGCTTTACTGTAGAACTTGATAAACACTTAACCTCCCTGTATACATGATAGACTACTCTGTGCCATAGTATCTGTACAGTAAGAAAGGAATGATCTGAGTCTTTTAAGTCTGCAGAAACTTGTACTTGGCCTGTTCCGCAGTTTTCTGCGCCGAATGATTGATAACAATCTTAAGCCTCCCTAAATAAACAACAGCCCAATACAAGTTATCAAACTAAGATGATGGAAGATGAGCACTGGCATGGCATGGGTTGGTAGTGGTATATGTTTGTGTTTTTCTCGATACTCATAAGAAATTCACCCCGTTTCAATAAAATGATAAATTCAATACGAACCTTCCCCCATCATATGCTTCCAACCCTGCAGCAAGGTTAAATGTATAGCTTCTGAATGGGTATGCACCCTGTCCCCAGCCACAAACTCCTCGATTCTACCATTAACCTCTATGACACTACAACCAATCTCCTTATTTGCTTGATTCTTCCTCATCAACCTCTTAATTTCCTCCGAATCACTCCACCTTCTCTTTCTGGCATACAAATTTCTAAGCATTACGTAGTTTCCATCATTCCCTGGCTCCAGCTTGGCCACCTTCTTTAACACTTCGTTGGCTCTTGTGACATCCCCATAATGGCCACATGCAAAAAGAAAAGAACTCAAAATTATTCCATTAGGATCATAAGGCATGACTTCAATCAATTTCTCAACTTCTTCCAAGCATCCTGCCCTTCCCAAGACATCTACCATGCAACCATAATGCTCAATCTGTGGGATGAGCCCGAAGCTCTCCATTGCTTTAAACCACCTTTTCCCTTCGTCTACCAGACCACAGTGGTTACAAGCGGACAAAACCCCAATAAAGGTAATATTATTTGGCATAAAGTTCTCTTTCTGCATCTCCAAAAATATCTCCAGTGCCTCCTCGCCATGACCATTGACTGCAAATCCATTTATCAGGGCATTCCAGGAAGCCGTTTCCTTTTCAGGCATCTCATCAAAAAGTCTCTTGGCTTTTTTAATTTCACCACATTTTGCGTACATATCAACAAGCGCAGTGCCAACATTAGTTATCCTATCAAGCTTCTTCCTCCGTACGACCTTGTCAACCCAACGACCCAAAGCCAAGGCGCCCAAATCTGCAATAGCTGGAAGAATGCTCACAACAGTCACACCATCCAATTCTAGCGATGTAGTTGACTGCATTTCCTGAAATAACTTCAAGGCTTCATGGGGTTGGTTATTTTGACTATAACCTCCGATCATCGCATTCCAAGAAATAAGATTCTTCTTGGGCATGGCATCAAAAAGTGATCTAGCAGAATGTAGGTCACCGTGATGGCAGTAACCAGAAATCATGCTGGTCCAAGACACCACATTCCTATCCGTCATCTCATCAAACAAAATGCAAGCCAAGCCCATATCTCCCAGTTTGACATAACCATCAATCATCGCGTTAAATGCAGCTGAGTCCTTGTCAGGCATTCGATCAAAAAGCCTCCTTGCATTACTCATGTCTCCAGACCTTGCATACCCACAAATAAGAGCTGTCCACGACACTTGACTCTTGTGCGTCATTTTATCAAACACCTTCCCTGCCCAAATCATCCTCCCAAACTTTGCATACATATCAACCAACGACGTTGACACATACAAATCTGAGCTCAACCCAATCTTAACAACTTGACAATGAAGTTCTTGTCCTTCCCAGATGGCCATATCTAAACCACACGCCTTCGCCAGAGCTGTGAACGTATAGCAATCCGGCTCGAACTCCGATTCCTGCCTAAGATTTCTATATAGTGTGAAAGATTCACCGAATTGCCGGTTTTCCATGTGAGCTCTGATCATAGAATTGCACAGAAATGTGTCATCTTTATTGGGTCTCTGATCGAAGACTCGGCGGGCGTGTCGAATGAGAGCAATTGGGTTTTGATGAGAGCAGGTTGTGATGAACTTGGTGAGGAGATTGCCATTGGTATCGAGGGAATTTCGGAGCATAAAAGCATGGATTTGGAGAAGAGAAGAAGTTGTGTTTGCTTGCTGGAGAAGGTCTAGGCATTTTCTTTCCAATGAGCTCCATCTCCATACTTGCTCTCTCATCACTCCTCCTCACTCTCTTAATTAGATGCTTCGTTGCAATTTTGAATGGCAGTTTTTTCAGTTATTCCCTCACTCTATTAATATATATATATATATTTTTTTTTTTTTGAGGAAAATGGGAATAACATAACCCAGGCTAAGAAGCCAAACATACAAAGAGAGCCTACCGCGAGGCAAGCAAACAGCATAGCAAAAGAGAAACCGGACGGCAGAGGGAGTTACAAGGAAGACATCATAGCCACGCTATTCTGTCGCCCCCTTCGCTACCCCTAGTCCTTCACGGAGGACAGGGTAAACCATCATGTTGAAGCACAAAAACTAACGAAGATGGGGTCTATTGACCCAAGAAACATTGCACATCTCCGTGGACCGCTGTAACGCCAACAAATCCGCCGCCATGTTGGCTGATCTTAGAATCCAAGACCAGCGACAGTCTTGAAAAGACTCCCCTAACCGTTTAGCATGCATTAAAGAAGGGTAAGCCTCCCAGCTGCCATTCTCAATCGAGTTTGACAGAGCACTAATAGAGTCATGAGAATCCGATTCGACAACAACCTGTGTAAGTCCCAATGCTAGACCAAATTCGCATACTTTGAAGATTGCAACAGCTTCAGCAGCGCCCACCGATGGAGTGCGAATAGCATGCCTTCGTGCAGCCACAAAAGAACCCTCAGCATCCCGAATGACAATCCTCACAAAACCAGAGCATGTCCGAGCTGACCAACTAGCATCGACATTGACTTATGCATAGGGCACGGTAGGAGGGAACCAACTGGACATTCGATCACTGAGCAGCAGAGTTCCAGGGGCCTGTGAAGGCCTACGGACAGCTTCAGAGAAAGCTCCCATTGAAGTATTAATAGCACAAAGAACCGTTGAGGGATGAATAGAACTCTGATCATACACAAAAGAAAAGAGTATGATTATCTTTTTTAATATACGTGCATTTTAATACGAAAACTAATGAAAATAGTTTGAAAATTTTGAGTTTTAATCAAAAAGAAAAAAAAAAGTGTTGTAAGTAAATAGTACTAGGAGTGACTTTTAGAGTAAAAATGTCTCTATTTTAATAGCTAACTATAAATTAAATTGACATAAGTTTGGACCCTTTCAAAAAAAAGATCGGAAATTTGAAATTTTCAGAGTCTCCAATTTCAATCCCATTCTTTTAGAAGTATTTGAATTAAAATTTTTTATTGTTGGAATTGGAAATTCCAATCCACCTTCCAACCCCCCAATAATCAAATTAAAACAAGAAAGACTTAACCAAGAATTGAGGACGAGAGGAATTTTAACGTCCAGAAACCGAATCACCTCAGCCCTACAGATCCAAACACAAAAAAACTTCTCCTACCCCACCCCCTGATTTGTCAAGCTAACTTGGCCCACTATTGGGCCCAACCCACTCTCACACCACCCGGATTACTGGTGCTGTACCAAAGAACTGGAGGCATTATGCAAGAAGAAAAGTTGTCTGATGCTGGAACTCCAGTACATATCGTTTATAAATCTATGTGTTATAATATGAGTGGACGACGAATTTATGATTTACGTTATACGCTTAATTAGTATTAATAGAAGAAACCAAAGGTGGCGAGCCAGAAGCTGTCACCCTGTCAACAAAACCCAAAGCCAAAGTTGACTAAGCTTTCTCTCAAGAAAGTTTTGGGGCTACTCTCTCTCCTTCTGTGAGAGACCTTCTCTCCTTCTGTAAGAGTTTCTTCTCCCTTTTGGTGAGGGTCTTTATCTTGTCCACCTTCTCAGGCGTCGACTCTGGCTTCGGCTAGACTCGGTTGCCACTTTTCCCTTTCTTCTTTTGTTTTCTCCTCTTTTCTCCTTCTCTATCATGTCCTCTTTCTTCTGTTCTTCTTCTTCTCTTTTTGCTTCTCCTGATGCTTCTCCCTATTTCCCCCTCCGATCTGTCCTGTTCTTCATCTGCCGTTAATATACCTCTCCTCACCTCTTCCTCAATCTGATCTTCAGCCATTTTTCCTTCTGAGTTCGTGTGTAGAGTTGGGGTGTTTTTCTTGGCTCGGGTGTACCACACCACCATGTTCTCCTTGTTGTCTGTTGTTTTCGACAGTGTTGCTCATGGGTTTCCACGAGCTTCTTACTGGTAGTTGGCTAATCCCTCTTTAGTGCCAACTATCTCCTGTTAATGGCTATGTTCTGGTTGCTGTTCGGGGTTGGCGGTGGTGTCTGAGGCGGCGATACTTGGTGGTGGATGTCGTTTTTGGTGGCTGGCTTGGATCTCTGTCAGTGGAGGAGATTTTAGTAGAAGTTCTCTTTGGCTGTTGTGTGTTTTTTTGGGCTTCACTGTTGTGGGCCTCTTTATGTTTTGCTGTTGGTTTCGGCCCTTTTTTGGTTGTGTATAGTTGTAAGTTGGGCCTTTGGTTTGCTTGTAATTTTGGACTTGTTGTTTAATAAAAGTTGAGGGAGTTTTGACTGTAGTTTTGCTACAGTCAAACTTTTTCCAAAAAAGAATGTGAGTTTTTTGTTTAGCTTTGGTACTAGTTTTTTCTTTTCCTGGAAGCATTAAATAAAGAATGATGTTATTCCCACTCCAATGTCTTATCTTCCCACCCACATTTTAATGAATTTTTTAATTACAAATTTATCCATTTGCAAAAAGATTGATAAGGACATTAATTATCTTGTTTTGCTTAATTTAAAAAAAAAAAAAAAGGTTGGGTGTGGGAAACAATTTGTCTACCTTAAACCCTAACTCATATTTTCATCTCCTTTCATTCAAAGAAAGTAAAAAAAATATCAATGAATTTAGAAGATGACTTTTTCATTTAAGAGGTGGAAGATGACACTTCTACGGAAAAGGTAGAAGATTATGTTTCCATTGAAAAGGTAGAAGAATAATTTGCGTGTGGGTCATTTGAATTTGTCCATCGTAAATTTTGAATTTGTCGTTGTCGAATTCTTTTGAATTTGGATACCTCTGTCGTTTCCATTTGAATTTGTAAACCTTAGTAGTTTTCATTTACATATTATTTGTTTATATTTTTTAAGAGACAATTTTATAATTTCATATGTACGTATATATTAAAGGTTATTTTGAGAATAATAGTGGGTGGGGAAATAATTTTTTAATTTTTTAATTTTTGAAGTGGGTGGGATTATAACGTGGGTGAGAAAATAAGACAATAGAGTGGATCTAGTAACTCTCTAAATAAAACATGTACTCATTTAACTTTGTGCTTTCCATAAGGTTTAATATCCATGACGTTTAGTTTTGCACAAAACATTGCAGCTATAACTGGTTTAACGTTTGCGATTCGTCTTCGTTTCTTATGTCCAACATATAATCTCTGAGATGAATGAGAGTACACAGAACTGCACAATTGTTTTGTTCTTGTAAGCAAAACTTGATGACAACGCGAACGTGTTCATAACGAGCCATGTTTTGAATAAACGCAACTTTAATTTTAGCCGACTATCTCCTGAACTATTACAAATAACCAATTCTCCTCTTGACACTAGCATTTTGATCACATAGGCACCACATGACCATTGTATGGGGCAAAAAGAATGGAAAATCGGATGAATAAAAATTGGATGAAAAGTTTTAAAATTCAACACTTGGGGGGATTGGTTATTTATAAAATTTTGGAAGCGTAATCGGCTAAAGTTATAGTTCATGAGAGAAATTGACCAATTATAAAAATTCAGAGGGTAATTTGGCAAAATTAAAGTTCAGGAGAAAAATTGGTAGCTCTTTACAAATTCGGGAAGCAAACCGACAAATACCTCTATAACTTTATACTAAATATCTAATCTAACTATAAGGACTTAACACAATTGTTTTTGTTTTTCTTACTTATGTTTTCTATTTGGCTAGTGAAATTACTGCTTTACTTTGTTGATAATTTTGATTATTTTTGGGTAATTTAGAAGTCGATTAATTGGTAATTCTTTTTGTATTTTGATACATAGAAAATGGAAAATTTGAGGGAAAAACAGAGGAAGAGAGCGTGATAATGTGAAGGAGAAGGGTGACCAAAGAAATTTGAAGATTCCCACCAATTGGACTCTAAACTAGTGGAGGTCCATGTGGACTGTCGTATAAAAAAAGTTGTTTGTTATGTGATTCAAAGTTGAGGTAGTAAGGTCATCTTCAACTGAAATGGTTAAATATAGCTTTGTCCAAAATTATAGCCTTGTCGAGAATTATAACATTGCAAGAAATTATTTTTAAATAAACAGTGTCAGACCATACTCATATATTATATCTAACCGAATAGGCTAAACATAACCCCCTCAACAATTTATTAGTTTTAAGTTTACACATTAAAGGCTTTTTAGCTAAAATGGTCCTTGAGATTTGCAGAACTCCTCACTTTGGTCCTTGAGATTTGAAATTGATAGAATTGATCCCTGAACTTGTCCACTATTAATCATTTTGGTCATCGTGTGAAAAATCTTCATTAAATAAGGATAAAATGATAAAACTATCCTCAATTTTTATTAAGTTATTTTGGTCTATTGTTTATTAAATTGAGGGTAATTTTATCATTTTAATCCTTATTTAGCATAACTATCTATGGAATGACCAAAATGATTGATGGTTGACAATCTCATAGACTACTTGTGTTGATTTCAAATCTTAGGGATCAAAGTGAAGAGTTGTGCAAATCTCATAAACTATTTTGGCTAAAAGGCCTCCATTAAATTTAGTTGTTAATTTAATTAAAATACCATTCGATGTTTTCAAATGTAGCAACTGAATTTGAATAAATTATTTCAATTAAGGAGCTGGACCGCAAAAAAGACCTAAGAATGAGGCTACATTTGGTCAGCCTGATGTCTCTTTGGCCAAATAATAGCTTGGTGGGCTTCATATAATAATAGTCCAACCATCAATTAGAGATGAGTTTTTGACAAATCAGACCATTTTTTTACTTTCGAACCTTTAGCCCTCTCAATTGGAGGTGACCGAAAATGTAATTTACCCCAACTTGTATTGTTTTAGATCCTTCCATCTATCTCCCTTTTGTTTTCCCTTTGTTAGAATCTATTTCAAGATCCCAAAGGATCTCCCTTTTGTTTTCCCCTTTTTAGAATCTATTTCAATATCCCAAGGGACGGCTTAGCAAGACATATTATTACCACTCATTTTTTTCTCCCGCACACTTCTGCACATTATTATTTTTTTTTTATATGTTGATTCTCTTTTATTCATTCAATTCAATGACTATTTTTTTCAGTGATTCTTGTAAATGAGAAGTGCAGAAAGCATTTGATGCATGTGTAGTACAAACAACAAACACGATATTTTCATCATTTAATTGTAAATAACTTCATTAATTTACCCTCTTTTATATAATATAATTACAGCACTTACAAATTGATACATAACCAATCAAATCAGTATTTATTTTTTGAAAAAAAAAAATCCTTCCCAATTTCAATTATAACAGCAATTATGGGTATATGTAAATCCCAGAACATAAATTGTTACACAATATTATCTAATTGGGGATCTTATCTGTATATTATGCCCATTAAGTAATTTTCAGGAAATTCTCATGCTTAAATTTTCAAATTATTTCTTTGAATAGAAAATATAAATTATAATAGAGCATGACATGTTCTGTCTTGAATAGAGCTGTAATGATAATTTACAATTGTATAATAGTTTAATTCACCTCCATTTCTAATTTATTTCAAAGTGCATTTACAAATCAGTTTATGAAAAATAAAGTCTCACACACATGAAACTTTACACCAAATTTTTATTTACCAAATTCAGAAAAGACATGAATAAGAGCTGTAATGATAATTTACAATTGTATAATAGTTTAATTCACCTCCATTTCTAATTTATTTCAAAGTGCATTTACAAATCAGTTTATGAAAAATAAAGTCTCACACACATGAAACTTTACACCAAATTTTTATTTACCAAATTCAGAAAAGACATGAATAGATTCGCCGTCACCACAATATAAGGGTCTAATATTAAAACAATGCTATTGCAAATTTTTCTTCACATAATATAATATTATTAAGCTAACATGTCACGTGACAATAAACTCGTTTTATTGCTGGGGCAGATGTTGACCTAGCCCATGTACTTGTTAGATCTTCGGCCTAACCCCAAGTATTTACGGATTAGGCCAAGTAAGAAAGTAGAGATAGACTAGGTCTAGGAAAACCCTTTGACTACTCTCTTCATGTGGATTAGGGTTGGGACAACCCTATATATACATATATAAACCCTGAAGTTAGTCAATATATATATAAACAAAAAGCCTAAACTTACAATATCATACTCAATATTTGTCGAATTGGTGGTGCTCAACTTCTTCAACTTGTTCCACAATCATGGATTCCAACATGGAGAGGACAGGACAATTCAATCCCGGGTTTCAAAGCCGACGTCCGGTACCAATTCCTGTTACGATGCCCCAGCCAGAGAGTGCAATCCCCGAACCAAAAGCAATGTATGATCCTGCACAAGTGGGTGGTGTTGACCAGAATGATGATTTATGTTCCTGGGAAAGTATTGATAATCAGCTGAGTGATGACGATGACGATTTTTCGTCTTGGGAAACTATTCCTTACAGTCCTTGTGCAACCCCTAATTCCATTGAAAGCAATTCTGCACTGCCCTCTCCTTCTTGTTGTCTGTTCTCGCCGTCAACTACTCCGTTGCCTTCACCTATTCCGTCATCCTCTCCTGCTTTTACTTTGTTGCCTCCTCCTTGTGATCCATCCTCGCCGTTAACTACTCCTCCATCTTCTCCTACCTTTACTTTGTTGCCTTTACCTTCTCCGCCATCTTCTCCTGCTTTAACTTCATTGTTGTATCGATATCCTCCGCCTCCTTATTTTGTTCCATTTACGCCTTCAAGCAGTACTGAACCGGCGTCATCATATCCCACTTATACTCCATTGCCACCTCCTTATTATGATGCTCCTCCATTTTTTCCCTCATACACTCCATGGCCATCTCCTTATGATAATCGATGCTCTTTATATACTCCACTTTATCCCGCTAATATCCCACTGCTCTCTCCTCACTATGGTCTGCACTCACCCTTAAATACCCCATCATCTTCTTCTCCCACTTGTACACCATTGCTGTATCGTTATCTTGGTTCGAACTTGCCTTGGAACGCTCCATCATGACCGTCATCATACCCACTCCCACTACATTCGCCAATGCCGCCACCTTATGCTGGAGTTTGCTTACTCCAGCATCTTTTTGTTCAGACTGTCAATTTGACTTTGCCTCCAAAAAGTGGGACTATATCAGTTGTTAATTTCCCATATGTAATTAAACAGATTTTTATTTCAATAATAATTTACTTTTCCGCAGTTTAGCGTTAATTGTTATGCTTAAGAGTGTTGTTTTCTTACAAGTTCATGTTACTAACTTATCATTTTATCATAAAAATGATTGATTGTTTATTCTTTACCACAATAATAATGCATTCATTAAGAAAAGGACCTAGTTATGGAAGTCATTAACAATTCAAGGCAAACCTACCCAAATTACGAGCTACAAGCAACACAAAAGTACACATATACTCACTGCAGACTCAGACTTGAGGGTAATCGAAGAGAAACCTGCATCCAAGGACAAGCACCGTCCATAAACTATCACCACGATTTCAACTTGTCGAAGAGTGGGGACGCTTAAGGGAGCGGCCTGAGCCACCGCCCTTATCATTTGGTAAAAAAGAGAGAAAAAAATTGGTATGCATTATTATAAACTACCATTTTTTTTATTCCACTTTCATAGCATAACCTCAGCAATCATGTCTACATTTTTATAGCTGTTAACTCAAATCCAACTTTTCAATTATTTCAAAATGCATCTGTAAATTTGGAGTCCTATCAGCAAAATAAAATTTCTCGCACACCTGCAATTTTCCTCCACTTCTCTGAGCTTCAGACTCCAGCAGATGAACCAACTGTTCTTTTTCTTCGAATATCCAAGCTCGACTGTTGTCACGCCATTGCCTCGGTGTCCCATGTATGATAAAACGGATTGCTGCAGCTCCTTGTATAAGGCGTTCTGAGATTTTCTCAATCACACTTCGGTCACTGATATATGCACCAGGTGAATTTAATCCAACATCGACGTAATGGATTTCTCTGATGCTGCTTAAAAGGCTTTCTTTTGTACTAGGTACGATATGAATCCCTTCTTCCACGCCAATATGCTTTTCCTCCATGAGTGATGCACCTCCAGAGGATTTGACATCCAAGAACCCAAGTTCAGTAACTAACTGGTTAATGACAGTACCACCCTTACTAAACCCAAAAAGTAATGTTTTGGTTTGATTATGCGATGTGGATATTCCTTGTTGGAGTTGTTCTTTCTGTATCGCATTGTCCTTCTTCACCTGCCATCATCAGAAATTTAGTTTAAGAGATAAGAATCGTCTAATAGCCTCTTATGTCAGAGAGATACAAAGTGTTTTATCCAATTCAATTTACAATATGGATCATAAATAGTACAATTTTAGATTCATAATGAGTAACACTCCCCTCTTCCCCATAAATGTGCCACTCATGTCGTAAGGAAACAACCAAGAAATTCCAGAAACACTACTACATTAGGTTGATATCTTTAATTATTTCTCTAAGTGTCAAGTGAAGAAATATAAAATTTTGAAGAGGCCAATGAAGTACGATATATACCTTTTCAAGGCAACTTGACAGGAGGGAAATAATGGTCCCAGAAGCAGGGTATCCAATAGGGCAGTACGATTTTGGCTCTCCCCATTGATTAACAGATGGAATAAAGTCCCGATACACAGCAAAAGGTCCATTGAAAAAAGAAACGTCAATAACCCAAGCATTGGTTGAACCACCAATCTTTGAAACCAGTATTTCAGCTATATTTTGTAAGTCAGATAGCCTCTCGATCACTGGATTCCCGGTTCCTGCCACTCGGTCTCCATTGAAAAATATGGCATTTGCTGAAGGAACCTGCTTCCCAGGAAAAGTATAAGATACAGCCAAGTCTTCATAAGTGAGAAAAGAGACAAAATTGGGTAAGGTGTAAGAGCTGCCCCGAAGAAAAAGTGGATAATCCATCACTTATACACTACTCTTCATATGAAATTGGTAGCGATGTATTTCTAACATCTTGTAGAAAAAGCAGAAGCCGTGATCAGATATGCGTAATGGAAATGCTATAAGTGCTTCAAAGGTTGAGTATCCAGAACTTACAGTTAGTGTGTTGGAAGAAGGTGATAGGCAGAGAGATGCTGCAACTTGGTAGCAGGTCCTGGCGTTAGGGTTCAACGGGACCTTTAAAACTCCACGCCAGCGTTCCATTAATACATCTACTGAATCGAAAAACTGAAATTTAACAGAATTGAGAAATCGGTGGCATCACTGGCATAGGCAGACAGCAGTAACCAAGGAACGACCGCGACATAACGACAATTGAAACTGCACCAGAGCAATCAACGAACTATATATCCATGCCGTTCAATCCTAAAAATATCCCAAATTTTGGAACTGCTTTAAGCCAACTTACCATGAAATTACAGTCGCTTGAGAAATCTTCTTAAATCAGGAAGGAACAGGCATCGCAGACTGCGTTTCTTGGAAATCACTAAAGAAACTGGAATCAGCGCAAATGCTCCAGGGACGTTATTTTTTGGTGAATTTGGGTGGTGTTTGGAGGTGATATGGTGGTGGTTCTCGCTTTTGCTGGGAGGGAGAAGGAGAGTTGCAGAGGGGGGACAGATGGGAGAGGCAGACTAGTGACTAGTGAGGGATGAGAGAGATTGACAGTGTTGGGTGATGGGGGAGTCTGAGTGGGGTAGAGAGAAGTGAGGGTTGAGTGAATTAGGCGTGGGAAGGAGGGGGAGAGGAATTAGTGGGGTTGTAATGGTGAATCAGAGGGATGAGATGGGTGATAGGAACCAAGGAAAATTCCAAGGATCCGGCTGGAGGGGAGATTTTTCGAACAAGATCTTGCCGGATCCATTTCCTGTGATCTAGAAATTCCGTAGTGCTCATCGTTCATCATATATCATGTTGTTAAAAATTATTTCAAAATTTAAAATTTAAAATTAAATATAAATAGTACTTAACGAAAACTAATCACATACGATGAATGGTCAGAATTACGAGAGGATTCCCAAAAAAAGAACTTGACGAGGATTATTTTCCAGATTTTTCAATATGACTCAAACACGAAATGATATTTTTGGTCGAAAATTGTTAGTGAAGGATAAATGGTAAAAAAAAAATAAAAAATAAAAGTCAGAACACTAAGGAATAGAAGGGCATTTTCGCCCTTGTATTGTTAATGAACAGTATTTTTCTGCTTGGGTTTTAGTATAGAGATAATGTTACACGCTAATTTGTGCTCCTTTCAGCATTAATCCCTCGGAACCTCACCCAAACATAGCCTTAAAGTTTTAACCAATTGCAAATTTTGAGCATGTTGGATACAATTAGCTGATGAATTAGAGTAAAAAAAAAAAAAAATGCTGCAAGCACAGACACATAAGTAGCTAATTGATGGGTAACTTTTTAAGAAACTCTTAATTTAGCAACTTAAACAATATAAGATAAGAGAGAAACCTATTTCTTTTTTTTTTTTTTCAAAATTTCTCAGGGAAAACCTAGATAATGGAGATTGTATATATAATTAGTGTTCTAAAAATCGGTCTAGGTGGTTTTTTTTATAAATATTTTTTTATTAATTGTGTGCTTTTTTCTTTTTTGGTTTCATGGTGGTATACTTAGGTACCGTTTGGTACGTGGGACGGGACGAAACAGAGTGGGACAAGGCGTTCCGTCTCATGTTTGGTGCACCTAAAACGGGTGGAACGAGCTGTTTCACGGGACGAGTTTTAGGTGAGTTTTCGTTCCACCTCACCCCCTGGAACGACTCGTTCCACATTCATGGAACACAAAATTATAACCTCTCCGTCTCCTTCTTCTTCCTCCTTGTTTCCATCCGAGGGCATCTTTGCTCTCGCTCTATTCCGTTCCGTCCTGTCCCGTCCCATTCCGTTCCGTCCCGTCCCGTCTACGTACCAAACGATACCTTATAGAAATGGTGTATCTAATTTGCAAATGATGGATTTACTACAAGTTCATCCAATAGTGAAACGAATTGGAGCACTTTTGAGAGGATACATACAAATAAAAGAAATAAACTTGATACAACAAGGTTAAATAATTTAGTCTATGTCCAATCCAATGCAAGGATCATGATTCATGAACAAGAAGAATTTAATCTATCATCCAAATCCTTCTCATTATGATTATATGCTTATTGTTTTTTAAATATTGAACTTTTTGGATGTATATATTTTGTGTATTCTTCTACTTCTATTTTTGCATTTTATCATTCTTTTATTATCCATACAAGTATAGTTTTTTTTAGGTGTAAATAGGCACGGGGTTTTTGAACATTAATCCTTGCAAAAGATTAAAATTTAAAAAAAAACTGGTGCTGGATTAAATATTCAATTTAATCCCTTGAAGAGTGCTTTTATCAAAATTTACATTCAATTTTTTTTTATTTAATGTGTATTTTTATTTAATCTCTCCATATTAAATTTTAATTTTATTAATATGCACATATTTAGTTTTTTTTTTTAATTATAAATGAATGTAAATGAGAAAATATTAAAAGACATTTGTGATACAAAAATATATAAATACATAAGTGTACAGAAATGATTGTGCCAAAATATATAAAATTGACTTTTCTGTACTAAAATATTTGTACCTACATGATTGTACCAAAATATATTATAATGAACCTAAATGTATGTACCAAAATGTATTATATTGAATTAATGTACTTAAATGTGACATCCCACATCGCCTAGGGGAGTGATCCTTAAATGTATATTCCCATCCCTACCTAGCACGAGGCCTTTTGGGAGCTCACTGGCTTCGGGTTCCATCGGAACTTCGAAGTTACACGAGTAGCGCGCGATAGCATTCCCAGGATGGGTGATCCATCGAGAAGTTCTCGTGTGAGTTTCTAGAAACAAAACCGTGAGGGTGTGGTCGGGGCCCAAAGCGAACAATATCGTGCTACGGTGGTGGAGTTGGCCTGGGAAGTGGTCCCCCCTGGGCCGGGATGTGACAATTTGGTATCAGAGCCTAACCTTGGTCGCATGTGTGCCGACGAGGACGTCGGGCCCCTAAGGGGGGTGGATTGTGACATCCCACATCGCACAGGGGAGTGATCCTTAAATGTATATTCTCATCCCTACCTAGCACGAAGCCTTTTAGGAGCTCACTGGCTTTGGGTTCCATCGGAACTCCGAAGTTAAGCGAGTAGTGCATGAGAGCATTCCAAGGATGGGTGACCCATCGGGAAGTTCTCGTGTGAGTTTCCAGAAACAAAACTGTGAGGGCGTGGTCGGGGTCCAAAGCGGACAATATCGTGCTACGGTGGTGGAGTTGGCCCGGGAAGTGGTCCCCTCCGGGGCGGAATGTGACATTAAATGTCAATACAGAAATGTTATGTACCAAAATGTACGTACCTAAATGTCCATATCGAAATGTATGTACCTAAATATCAATACCGAAATGTATGTACCAAAATGTATTTACCGAAATATAATATATTGAATTAATGTATCTAAAAGTCAATACTCAAATGTGTGTACCAAAATGTACGTAATGAAATGCATTATATTGAATCAATGTAATTACATGTTTGTACCGATGGATATACCAAAATATTCAAATATATTAATGTACCTAAATAAAGAACATACAAAATTGTTATCGGAATATAAATTATAAAAGAATTAGTTACCTAAATGTGACAACCCGTTCCAAATTTTACATTTTTATTTTATTTTAAAAGCGTGAATTTACGAAAATGCCATAGAGGCAAAGATTTTGACTTATGTTGACCATCGTCTAAAGAGACGTATGACTTTTTTTTTTTAACATATTCTCGTAGTACTCGTGGATGTGAACGCATAGGCGAAAGCCGTTTGTGAGTTCGGATTATAACGGTATAGTTATGGATGTTTGAAAATGGCTATTTAAAGTTTAGTTATAAATTATTTGAATTCCCACCTTGTGGGAAAGTGGCCAATCTGATTTTAAGCACAAATAGGAAGGAACCAATTAAATTAGAGGGAGAGGGTGAGACCCAATCAGAAATAGAAAGAAGAAAAAAGAAAAGAAAAAAAAAATCCTAGCTTTCCCGTGGGTTTTTCCAACTCGCGACCACCCATTTTTCAAGGTTGATTCCGGCCAACTCCGGTGGAGTTTTTCGATGCCACCACCACCATCTTGAAGCTCTCATTCCCCTCTACAAAACCCACCCAAGAACCACCTTGATTAACCATGGGATGTGGCGGTTTGAGGCCACAAAAGTTGACGAAAATCAATAGTGCTCCGGCCACCCTTTTCGATTTTCCGGCAAATCGGCAAAGCGATAGCCAATGCCACCACTTGGGCTTTGTAGCCCATCATCTCAGGAGCAAAACCTAACCAACTTTGACCCCGTTGGACCACCGTAGACGACGAATCGATGTCGGGAAGTTTTAGGCACCCGCTGGCTTTGTGGGCAAAATTGACCATCTTCCGTCCACGTTTGGACTTCGTGGAAGGTATGAAAGTTGCTCCAATCACTGAGATCTTCATTTCTGTGAAGTTTGAGAATTTTTGGAAATATTTGGATTTTTCGGCGAGTCGGGGCGGCCGACCGCCACCCGCGGTGGCGTGTGCGGCGGCGCGTGGCCAGTGAGCAGCCAATGCTATTTTTAGGCTATGTCGAATGTCTTGAATTCAGTTTTGTTATTTGAATGACATAGGTTGATCGTTGGAACCTAAATTCGTTACGATACGTTGCTTGATGAAAATGTGAATCGACGATCCGACCGTTGGATCGTCACCAAACTTGGATACATTATAATACGTAATATTTAAAGATATCCGATAACCGGATCTTCCCGAATTGAATTTGTAAGTTAGAAAAATAAATGTTCACGTCCACTTGGTTTTGGGCAAATGGTGGAGATCCAACCGTTGGATCGTAATGAAATTTTAATATGTTGTTCTAGAAACATATTGTGGATCGTTGGGAGTTACGGATTGGAAATCTGATAGGCGGATCTTCTGGGTCGAGTTATACAGGGTTGTAGACCCTACCGTCGATCTTTGATCGACTGTTGATATGTGGTCAATGGATCTCATACTATTTTAGAATGCCCTTGAGGTTGTGTTTTATGTGAATTACGTATTCTACGGATAAGAATTCTGAGATGTAATTTGATAATTGGTCACAGGGACCAATCATTCAGGACGCCTCGATGCGTGCACTAGAGAATCATAGCGTGGACTCCAGGTGAGTGCATCTTTTCCTTTTTATCGTACATATTATTGAGAGTTCTATCAACACTTTTAAATTGATTAGGTATATTACTTTCATATATAATTATTGTGAATGCTTGAAGTACTATATGAACTACGAATGGCTTAATCCCTGTTTAGGGTACGTAGGCAGTCTAACGAGACGTTAGATGCAGCCATAATATATTTGAGACAAAAGCCTTATTTGGGAAATTGAGTAATGCGAAGGAAATTGGTAAAGGCAAGTTTTAGTTTTGTGAATTAGTTAGTTAATTAGTGTTAGTTGGGTTGTCATGGATAATTATCCCTGAAAATTAGTAGTTTGGGAGTAGGGCGTTATAGATTGTACATTTCACACCGTATTGTTTATAATTGAAAATGCTACAACATGGTTGAGTATTAGATTGCATCATGGTTTATCCATGTGTATATTACTTGCATATAATTATTGGGAATGCTTTCAAGTGCAAAGGTGAACGCAGGACACCCAGGTAAGCTTCAG